AGCTGACATTCCCGGTTAACATATGGATTTTTGAGGTAAGAATATGTCTATATCATATAGACATATTCTTACCTCAAAAATCCTTTCAGGCTGCGCCCAGTGGCTCTGGCTCTGGAGTTTCTCATGTTAACCTTATGAGTATTCATATTTAAAGACATTAAAGAATTATGTCTGCCGTTTCAACTGCACAAGTTGGTTCTATGATATTAAATAGCATTAAAAAGTTATAAGGCTTACGAACAGGGTGCAGCACTATTATGTTTTTTTGCATTTATGACCACAGCTAATTTGAACGAACTAGCAACAAAAAGTTGTGGTACACAATGAGAATTTTACTTTTTTTCATAGTTTAGGTGCAGTGGTAGAAGATTAGGGCTATGTGTGTGATAAAATATAGGATACCGTACAAATTAAAAGACCAAATTTTCTTAAACCATGTCCTCTCCCTTAACTGCAATAAGCATTTATACTTATGTGCCAACCCCATACGAAGGACGGGTACTCTGCTAGTACAACATAAATATACCCTGTTGCAACAATTGGATATCACTGGTTTCATGATGTCACTCACTATCACTGTTACTTAATGATTGGTTGGTATTATATCAAGAGTATTTTAATTATATTTTTGAAAATGAAAGAGAAGAATAATTTTGTAAAATAATTCAAAATGTAGAAATAACTTCCAGTTATTACAAAATTTTCGCTTATTAAATAATAAATAACAATGTTTGAGGTGAATATGAAGTGTGGAAAATTTACAATAGGTGAAATATTTTGCTCTTTTACTGTATAGAAAACATATATATGATAATTCAGAGAAATGAATTTAATTAATAGTAGGCCTAGGTGTTTAGATACATAACACATGGTTTATAAACAAATTATATACAAATTGAAAAGTAAACAAAGAGGATAATTTTGGAACATCTCAACCTAGACCCATTGCTGTAAAAGCTACTATTCAAAAGTTGTTGCAACCAATGCAACCTTTGTAATTTACATTATATTATAAGGACACTCCCACGTTTACCCATGATAAGGGTTGTTGACAAGCTAATGAGAACTGTTTTGTAATATTACTGATGCCGTTTATAAGCATTTCAGCATCACAGCCACAACCACTACTCACTAGGGGCGCAGGGAAATGTCCTGGCTTCATCTGCTACTATTGACTCGGGAAGTCAATATTATATGTTAAACGATAAAAACCATTAATAATGAATGTATGTACTTAGAAGTACACTGATAGAAGTTTGCTTTGCTAATGATCTCTAGGTGAAACCACCTACTGTACCACGATACACGATACTGTAACTGTATTCGCAACAGTTCACCGCTAGGCGCTAGGTGTCGGTGTCAGTGGTGTCACTCACTAACCAAAGCGCGCCATGCGCCACAGTTTGGCAAGTTACCGCTAGATGTCACTAGCAGAGTGCGCCAGAGTTCGTCAAGTTACCGCTAGATGTCACTAGAAAAGTGCTACTTGTGCGTGTTCATTTATCAATAAATTTAATTGTATTAATTGCAACAAACGAGCTTAACTTGAAATAAATACAAAGTAAAACAAGTTATTTATCTAAAAAGCGCAAATCTTTTCGCCTTTAAGCCGTAGTAGTTGAGTAAATGGCCTCTGTCTCCATTGGCACTCGCAGGGATTTTCCGGTAGCTCATCTATGACTACCCTACTTGGCTGAGAACAATTCAACGTATTCTCACTTATTAAAAATAAAACTACTGTTTGAAAAGCCGAGAGTTGCAGCTCGATTAGAGTTGGACGATTGGCTTAAAAGAATTCAAAACTCCTTCAGAGTCAAAATCAGAAATTCAGCCCGGAACCCGGAACATCCAGGGCCTTTCTTCGAGTGTGTGTGGGTACAATCTCAGAGTAATAAAACAAAAGCTTTTGTTTTATTACTCTGAGGTACAATTAACTATGTGATCCAAAGGTATTGAGGTATCTAGGAAAGGAATCAAAGATGTTGTGGATTTCTCCCAAATACTCTCTTGTAGTTTGCTTGTTTATAATTATAAACATATTTAAAAAATGTTGAATCTATATTTATCTTATACAAAACTATTATAATTTCACTATAAACTATATAACCTTCGAGTTTAACGTGATTAACCTGCTTTGCAGCTCTAAACTAGGATTTAAAATACTAATAGTTTGGAATGCCCGATTTTGTGTTGATTTGAGTAGTTTTAGGTTGTTGGTATGAATAATGCTCTGATATTACAATAAAGAAAATTGATTGCAAAGTTTTCGTGGCCAGCAGTTTATAACATTGCCGCAATAGGCAAAGGACCATGCTAGTTTTAGAGCCCATACAGTTTTAAACGAATATCAACAACGTGTAAATTATTATGATGTTTCCACGAACGCTGAAGGTGATTACAATGTCGGATCGACTTCGTGATCGTGAAAACTAATGTCTACTTCTAATAAAATGACACTGGCGTTGATACGAGAAAAACACCCGTTCCCTTGACCCTATCCTGCTGGTTCGCGAACTCATTCAAGTGCGTACACCTATTAGAATGTATACTTTGTGGTAAATTTACGGTAAGTACCTGGGGAACGAGCTTTGCTAGGGTAAATTTATTAGTATTATCTGAGAGTATTCTTTGGTTAATGTCATCTGACCCAAAAATATTGTTAAGCAGTCCATTTAACTTCTGTTTAAATAATATAGTAATATAGTAAAAATTTTTTGGAGCCCGTAAACTTCCCAACCTATAGAAAATACCGTGAATGTTCACACTGAATTCGAAAAAGGCTTTCAGTAGAAAGAAAATCGTCACACCTTCATTCCCTTGAGGTATCAGTCACTACAAGAACTTGGTCTTGCCCCCCAGAACCTTTCCTTTAACCTTAATTTTCCTAAAATGTAATATGCCTAACATTTTCCAGGAAATTATGACTTTTACCGACTGAAAACGTTTACATTTAGTGAGAATAATTTCAGTATAACACATTATAAAGCAATTTTTATTAGGGTGGGTTATATTGAACTTTTGCCATAAAACAATACTTTACCCTAAAATGTTAGTTAGGTGCATTTTAAGACCGATATTAATCTCTCGACACTTAATAAATCCTCATATATGTACACAAAAGATACATAAGTATGTACAATGCTAAAGTATATTGATAGATTAGCCTTTAAAGCAAGTGTAGGCCTAGGCATTTGTCAGTTTGCAACATTGACAGGTGACTTGCTGCATGCTGATCCAACCTTTGACCAACTTAACTGCAATTCGTAGCCTATTAAATGAATTTGCCAAACTTATCATTGCTTTAAAGCTTATGGATGTATCAATAGTTACCATGTAACATTGTACATAGACTTGGCTTCCTTAGAAAAAGTCATGAGTAGGCCTAGTATGGTGAAAAATAAGGTTTGAAATCGTTTATATAGTTTGACAACCCCATTTTCAAATATTTCTCTTCAGTCTTTCTCTTTAATAGACTGAAGAAAAATATTTGAAAATAGGGTTGCAACCCCAAAACTATAGTCATCATGACAAAACATTGGATTGATTGACAACTGGTTAGTAACCTCATTTTATGCCAATTAATCAATCCTGGAGGCGAATATGTATGAATTTTTCCAAGGCTGGAATGCGCCACGACTAGTTTTACGTGCAACGCCCCTGGAATGTTGGTAAAGGGCGCGCGTGTAATTCCGTGTGCTCCCACTATCTCCGCGTTCCGCCATCTCCAAACCCAAATCTGTCCCGCCACCTCCGAATTCTTGAGTGACCCTTATAATCCCGTCACTGCCTGCGTTGTTAGCTGTCATTGCATCCACGGCTGCGAAGCCCCGTGGAAGCCGTGGATGGAAGATTTAATGAAAATTTAACCCGTGAGTTAGGTTGGGTCAGGTCAGGTTAGGTTAGGTTAGGTTAGGTTAAGTTAGGTTAGGTTAAGTTAGGTTAGGTTAGGTTTGGACGGAAAGTCTTAACGCAGGAAGTAACCGAGGATTATAGGGGTCACTCTGAAATTCGGGGGTAGCGGTACACGGAGATGGTGGGACGCGGAGATAGTGGGAGGTAACCGTGTAATTCCGCTCACCCTATCTCACTCGTAAAACCATAGATAAAAGGAGTAGACAAGATAGATAGATAAAAGGACTATGTCTATACTCCTTTTTATCGTGGGGCGGGATAAAACTTTAATGAGTTCACGAACCAGCATGATCGGACCATGGGAACGAGGTTTTACGGGGGGTTTTATGGGGTAAAAAATGGGTTTTCTCAATTTTGACCATCAAACACTAAATTTACTAATTTCTCTCTAGACCTTTTTAAAGAGCTCAAAAATCAAATAAATTAGTACCTATATCAAAGTATTTTTGTACGGTTATTGGTAACGGAGAAAATTAAAAAAATTGTAAATTTAAAATTCCAATTAAAAAAAAATGTAAATTAAATAGTTTGCTTGTTTATGGATATATTTTTATCAAAATTTTGATCAAAATATATCAACTATTGCAATTGGCAAATTTATTTATTGTATACTAAGCTATAAAGTTTTACTAAAAATCCCACTTTAATAGTTTCCTTGTAACAGCAAACCTAGGTACTCGTTAAACCTAATGTTATTTAAATAGATTTAATTGAAAATCAAATCAGACAAATGGAAATTCGCTTAGTCGGCAGGTTTTCTGCGGCGAGGGTATTTTATTTTGGTCTTAGTTTATATTTTTAAATTGTATATTTTGTATTCAAAAGTGTTTAATTTGTTTCCTGTGGATTATGTGGAAATAAACATATTATTTCATTCATTCGGTTATTCATTTCGATCAGTTTTTTTCTATAAAAGAATTAAGTGATATAGACTACTCCACAACTATAAGATCATCTGTAAACAGTAATCATAGTTTTACTCTATAGTGTTAAATTAATTTGATAGATTTATTAGGCCTAATTAAATAAGTTGAAGTGTTGCTAAACAGCTGTAAGATGAAATAACAGTAAACCGTAAACGTCTTTACCTTGGTATGATAGTAGAGCGAGCGCCGAGCAGTGTGCGACAGTCCCCTGTACAGGAGCTCTAGAGGTTATTGTACAATATGGTGGGGCGAGGGCTCAGTGGGTATTCCCCCAACCTTGGAAGTTACGGTCTAGTTTAGCGGGGGTCAGGAATGTTGTTTCCTCGTCACGTGATAGGCTTATCAGAATGCAACACAAGCTTAACCAATGCAGATTAGCACCGTGAAGATAATCTCACGTACACATGGGTGTTTCGGCAAAATCGAGCGTATAGTCAAGAGGGAAAAGGTTTTACAACCAATCAATCAATCAATCAATTATTTAAGATGGGGACACCACTATGTGCGTATTTTAACCCAAATATGAGTGAAGGATGAGTGGCGCAATCTTGTAGTCTTCTAAGTGACTAAGGCCGACATATTCCTTAGACACAGCTGTTGTATAGTGCTCGCCTACTAATCAAAAGGTCGCCGGTTCGATCCTGAGAAAAGTCAATAGCTTTTTGATGGTTCGAAACTGGACCCAGCTGTTCCTGATCATTGGGCTATAAATAAATGATCCTAGCTAATGAAACAGCTGATCTTAGTCAGTAACAAAGCTACACAGATCATCTCACACCATTCTACACTCATCCTTCACTCATATTTGGGTTAAAATACGCACCTAAGTGGCGTCCCCATCTTAATAATTGATAATTGTTAATTAATAGCCCAAACAGCTAAAGGCAACTAGAAAAATTTTAAAAATGGTGAATTTAAAATTACTATTTTATTCTTATGGAGAATATTGTAAAATGTTGTAGTTTGCTTGTTTATTGGATATATTTTTATCAAACTTGGCAAATTTATTTATTTTATACTAAGCTATTAATATGTTACAAAAAAACACACTTTATTAGTTTCCTTGTAGCAGCAAACCTAGGTACTCGTTAAACCTAAATGTCATTTAAATAGATTTAATTGAAAATCAATTCAGACAACTGGAAATTCGCTTGTTCTGCAGGTTTGCTGCGTCGGTTTTATTTTAAGTCTATGGTAATTTGTACACAAATTTATTTTAACTGAAATTACATTCGTGCGCCACCGGCAACCACGTCAGAGCGAACGTGTTTAAGTACCTATTGTACTGTTGAATGGTGAAGTTTTTGTCATTCAACAGTACAGCATGTATTTAACCTTTATCAATTGTAGAAACGCGATTGACAGGCTAAAAATCTATACAACTTTGATTCCGATGCATTGTTGTTATATAGTACCCCACCCACGTCAAGTCATAAACCGGCAAAATCATACGTAGATCAGGTAGCTGTCATCATTTCTTGGCAATCCACGACAAATTAAGGACGCAAACATGGAACTTGTATTTTTCTAAAGCGGGTATAGTATGGTGCAATGGCCAGATCAATTATCACTCTCCCTGGTAGCTTGGGGATAAATGCGTTGAGTGTGGCCTATGATAGGACCGGCCCTGCAATACCAGGTAAGTCGAGACCCTGTGTGGCCATATAGAGTAGATTTAAGACGTGGCACGATTTGAAAGTATACAACAGACGTACTCTCATTATTGCTTTTATTATGCGAGAAACAACTTACAGTGTTGCCTGGTCCCAATAACTTTATGATTGGAGATATGTTTCACTCCTACAGGTACATTTAATCAGGCTAAATATTACATGAGACCCAACGAACGAACGAAGATATTTCATATTGTTGCACTTTTATATTTTTGAGGATTAAATATTTGTCCGATAAAAACTTAAAACGCATTTATAACAGATCCGACGCGACGGAAGTTCAACACATTTCCATTGATAAAGATAGGTCTACTCTGATCTGTGGCATTATTTACGTGAGTATGCATAAAACAGAACAACACTGTATTATAAAGCTTGGTATTTTAAAATTATATCGATATAATAGATCGAAATTACAATGTTATGTTCAACCAGTTAGTTCTGCCTAACGTATGAACATCAGCTGATTGACGTTTTACAAATCTCAGCTGTTGAGCTATGGTCGTGGAGGGAATAGATTTTTCACCCTAAAACCGCCTACATTTTGTGAACGGAGTGAGTTCACTTTTAGTTTCCATTATCTCACTAGATTTGGTCAGTATCACCATTGTGGTTTTGTACTACAAAATACCGATACTTTAAACATTTTTTTAATTAGGCCTACCGTGCAATATCCACAAAACGGCAGTGGAAAAGAAACCAACTTGCCATATAAGGAACATTTCCAATGAAAGCTAAACCTTAATCCAAGCTAAACAGAAGTAGAACAAGGACAGAAGTAGTCGGCTTTCATCCTGATATAGATTAGCTAATTGCAAATCAAAAGTGGAGGTGTTCGACCAACACGTCACAACGAACGCCTTCGGTGTCGGGAATCACATAACCACTAGAAAAACTGAGGCTGTAAGAACCAGGGACTGCTTTATAGGGCAGCATCTAGCTGATTTGAACTGTTGAGTTGACGTTCAAGTTATTCGTAATCACCATAATCTCAAGTCCTACCAGTACGCTAGCTGAACAAAGTGCATTTAGGGTGTAAGAACAGCTAAGAGGAGAACAGTAAGATTCCGACAACTACCTGCACCTCTTCCCTGCCTCTCAATGTTGAGTCGGTTGACTTTTGAGATCAACAGCTGTGAAGCATATTATTAAAATTAAAATAAACAATTGTTTTCGTCCTTCTTGTAGAACATCCCATTAGAATTTCTCAAATAATTCGTTTTTGTCGGTATCCACCTTTGCAGGTTGATCAAAGTTGCCAGGAGCAATGTTTGTGCCAATATATTTTAACTATCATGAACCATTTGACAACAGGTATTCATCGGATATTACGATTGCTAATTGCTGCTACTATAAGTTCAACATTTGCGCATCAACTACCAAACCCACCAAATGGCATGTCCACAATCGCCCCATTCCCATACGGAACGTGGAGTACAAGTACATGCTCAAAAATATTACAAGTATCCAAATGATTAAAGATGAAATAGAAAAACTCAACTCTCTTCGTCGTATGCTATTTCTTTCTATTCATTCACAAAATTAGTCAGTTAACTTTCTGTGTATACGTTTCACGAGTAAATGATTAATTAAAATCTACGATTACAGAGACTTAAACACACATAATAAAAACTACTGAACTTAGACATGAGTACATGCAAGATGTTAAATTGTCTTTTCTGCATTTGGCTAAATTTTACTAAAGTAAATCTTTGATCAATGAAATCTGACAGTGGTCTTTAACTATACAGATCCGTGTGCCTTATGAACTATTCAAATATAGTGCACGTCTAGCACTAAATTACCAACGAGACAGTTGCTTAAATCATCCAGTGTTCTGCAAATAAGCTGCTAAATGTTCATCAATGTTTGGTGGCACAGCTTTTTCCTTGCATTAATAATCAATGGCCCAGTTACATCAAATGTTGCAGTTCGAAGTTTTTTTGTCCTGGCTAATCCCACTACGTGTGAGGTTATCAAAGTTTCACTCAACAATAATAACTCTGTCAGAACATATGACGTTTCGTCTCGCAGGTTTAAAGTTGTATGAAATAAGGATATAGTTTGTCAATTGTTTTGTCTCATCGAAGTATATAACACAACAACATTTGTACGAAGTTGTGTTATATACTTCGATGGTTTGTCTTCGAGAGCTGGATAAACTTTAATGGGTTCACAAACCAGCCAGTTCGGGTCATGGGAACGGGGTATAAGATGTTTTTTTTTCAAAACTTGTTTGCTTTTCAAATGTGTTCCCTCAAAACATGGGAATGCCCAATTTTCATTACAACGATCGTGTATAGGTAAAAAAACAATCGTGTCGGCATCCAGTTCAGATCGCGGCAATGTCAACTGGTACCGTGTGTGTGACAGGCCTGTTCGTTGTGTTTTCGTTAATTGTAAAATGTTATTCGTGTTCGTGTTATGTGTTTTAACTATATGACGACGCTACTTCAGCTGAATGTTCAACGTCTGACGATGGCATTATAATACCGAAACGGCCGTAACTCAAGTTACAACAGTTTGAGCTGTAGACGAAGGTAAATACCTATTTTTATTAATTAATATTACAGCTCAGGGGGCTAAGAATGGATTTTAATTAAAAAACAAACAATTTTGTATGAAGCATTGTTATACAATTAAAGGTTACGGAGAAAATATAGAAAAATGTAGTCTACATTAACCCATGTTATTCTTATGACGAAAAAGAAAACTGCTGTAGTTTGCTTGTTTATGGATATATTTGGATCAGATTTGAAAATTTGTTTATTTTATATTATTCTAGAGGTTAAATACCTTATTGTTGCCACAGTAATCCACTGTCGTCTGGATGGCCCTCTAGAATTAGATTAACCTCTAGAATAATATTGTTAAGTAATCCGGAAGGCAACACCTCAAAAATGAAGTTTTTGTTTCATCCTATATTATTACCATTACATTTTATACATAAAAACACATTTTCCCTTCCCCGCAACGGCAAATCGAAGTACTGTACTAGTTAAATCTAATGTCATCCAAATGGGGATTAAATATTACTTGTTTACGGAAATGTTTTAAGTTAAACTCCAATCTGACAAATTGAAACGCCTTGTATGTATGTTTGTTGAGACGGGTTATTTCTTAATCTAGAGGAGCTCAACTTAAACTAACTCAATCTATTTTTACAAGCCCCCGGAAAACCACCCCCATGTGAAACGTATATACGATATATACTTGTGCAATCATATGTCATAGTTGAATTCATCTTTTCCTCCTGAGTAGGCTGTTGGTTGTTGATGGATCTCACAATTTATAGGCTATGTATCTGGCTCTTGCGACAGTTTGTACAATTAATCGACACGTGATAGCGTCCGATGAGATGTCAACGCAGATCGTCATTCATTTTTGTTCATAGTGATGTCATGGAATGGAGATTAAATACAAGGTGGTAGAGGAAGAAAAAAGGGGGGAAAGACACACGGGTTAACTTATTACATCCGCTGTAGATAATAAACAGGATTAAAAATTAATATGTTCAATGTATTTATTAATTTAACGATCACATAATTAAATATGCTACAGTGTTCAGTGTACATGTTCT